TGGTTAAATATTTGCAGTACTTACATTGATTGTCAGGTACTGGTGTCTACTTTGGATTCTGATTTTCAATACAGTGTTGTTGCTAATGTATTTGAATCTATTAAACAGTGAAAAAGGTAATTCTTTAATTTGCAATAACAATCAAGTAAATAGACATTTTTTATTCCTAAAAAACCCTGTTTTTATTTCCTAAAAAACTCTGAAAAACTGAAACAAAGATATACTTTTGTTATACCATTATGTCCTATTCTGCATAACAATTGAAATATACTATATACAATTGTTATACCATTTTATGAACATATTATGTCCACTTACGGAAAAAGAATCATGGAATAATAACAATTGGATTACCATAAAAGACTAAAAATTTCGGGAAACTGAGATTGCTAAGATTAAACTCACTTATGACATTGTCTAGTTTAAACGAGTTAACTAAAATGTGAAACTAGTAATGTTTTCATGTGAAACCCTGACAGCTTTAAAAATAAACCCAGTTACAAATTAGTGAGTTGAAGATACTGTTTTCTTTTCTAATTTCAATTCACCTCTCCAAGGTTATGAAGACCACTGCAGTCGAAGAGGCTATTTTAGTTGTGGTTACAATCCTCTCTCAAAACTCTTGACAAAACTCTTGATTTTTGACAAACAAGGTTGCTGCAGGCAAAAATAAGTTTGCAAGGTCCTACCAGGGATGTAGTGGGATCAAACAAGGAACTTACGGAATTATGGAAAATTAAGAGTGAGATTTTTAACAGAATGACTTGAAATAGATTTGAAATAGAAATGACTTGAAAGAGTCGATAAAAACAACAGTAAGTCGTTTATATTGCTGGATACATTGTTTAAAAAAGTTTATATTACTGAAAACATTGTTCACAAAATCGAAATGGATAATGCTAAACTTTTATTTATCAGAAAGATTACAGCAATTCTGACAAAAAAAATTTTTTGTCAGCAACTAATAAATTTTAATCTTAAAAAGAGGTGAAAAAAGTAGCAAAAATATGTACTCAAGTAAAAGTACTGCTACATGAGTGAAATTTTAATCAAGTTCAAGTAAACGTTACTTTTCAAATAGTTTACTCAGTAACAGTAAAAATTATAATATTTAGCTCATTAAAAATGTACATAGAGTAAAAGATACTCAACTCAAATGAGATAAAAATTTAAAATGTCAGCAGTGCGTGTTTGATAAGCCTACTAAGAGGTCATTAATAAATTACATCAAGCAAATATTAACTTTAAATACTATAATTTTCTTTGGCTTTAACTAACTAATAAATTCATTTCAATGCATATAAATTTTAGCAATTATTTATTATTACTTTGAAAGCCATTATTTATACGCGCCTACAAATAATAAGCCTCCAGTAAAAATAGTATTTGTACGCAAAAAAAGTTCAAAAAGATTTAGTCAGGAGGCGTGGCTGATTAAAACTTTTAGCAGATAGCAGGTTCAACTTTTCCTTAAATTTTTTTTTTTTTTTTTTTTTTGATTATGGTGTTTCATTTCAAGTAATTTCATGTGTATATTGTTGTTGATTATTATTTATATTTTATTATTGTTTATATTTTTCAAAGTTTTACAAAATAATTGCATCAACATGTATATAAAATATAGTCACAGTGTAGTTACATACATCAACTGACTTAAGTAGGAGAACTGAGTTAAGTAGGTACAGTGTACAACTTTTTTTGTGTATAGTTCCATATAAATTTGCACAAATTAACAGTGACTTATTGAAAAATAACCTCTAAAGACAAATAATTTTTGATAAAAACATAATTTAAATAACTTTATTAGTAATAAGCTAGTGTAGTATCATGGACATCGCTATCTATTCTGCTACAAATTTACTATGGCTGATAAAGCTGTAAATGCAGTTAAATCTACATTACTCTAGTAAAAGTCAGTTTGAAAAGTTAATTTTATTAAATTCAAGTCAATTTAAAAGTCAATTCTAATTTAAGCAATATTGTGATAGCCGCAGTCGATTGATCGTTTTCTAGGCACTCTAAAAACCAAAATATTTCTAAATTCTTAACTAAAAAAAAAATTTGCGTCACAAAATCAAATATTCCTCCCCAATGTAACAAAACTGTGAAACTTTAAAACATTAGTGAAAACTATTAGAACATAATGTTATAAAAAAAAACTATAAAAAAAGCACTATTTTTTATCAAATAAAAAAATCCTTTTTGTGATTTAAACAATACTAATATGTAATTTTTTTTTTAATAGCAACATATATCATTTAAAATGTAGCAAAGTACAATACTTTAAAAAATATTTACTCAGCCCTCAAAATTAGGAAAAATGAGGTAAGCAATAATTTGCCAACCTCAAACTTTAAGAGGATGGTATCAGGTCGGCAAAAAAAATTTGATACAAAGGTCTTACCATAAAACATAGAAACAAGGTCAGCAGTTTTTTGCCAACCGCAAACACTTTAGGCCATTGCAGAATGCCAACACTAACTCCGAGGGCTGTATACTTAAGTATAAATTTTTTAAGTATATATAAGTAATTATTATAAGTAAATCTTAAATTTAGTATATATAAGTAAAAATAAAATTAAAAAAATGTCTTGAAGAATGTTTTTTATTTTAATGTGTATGTCAATATTTTGAAAAGCAAACTAATATTCAAGAGCTTAGAAAAATGATTTCAATAAGCTCCTTTAGGGAATGTCAAATACGGTCATCAACTATTAAAGTAGTGTAATCTAATGAATGAACAAAATTTTTTTTAAGGAACATAAGAAATCAATTCAATTATATCAAAAAGAAAATGTGGGTTGGGAAATTGAATTTAAGTACAAATCAATCAATGAAATGTATGATTTATTCTTGTACAATTACAATTATAGCTTTGAATAAACATAATATGGGGTGGGATAACAAATTAACTAAAACAGAATAGAATTTCAAAAAAAGCACAATATAAAACAATTAGAAAGTAATATAGCAAGCAAAAATTAAATCCTAAACTGCTTTATAAATATATTATCAAGAAGAAATAAATAAACTAAAATTTGAGCTCTGGAAAATGAAAATGGCATAATTTTAAATGATCAATTTACAATAGCTACTGAGCTAAATAAATATTTTTATTCTGTATATATTGATGACAATAATACAAACATTGAATTGGATAATATACCTTCAATTTTATTATTAGACACAGTTGTAATAACACAAAATGATGTTTTATGTTAAAGCACTTGATAAGTTTAAGCAGTTGATAAATTAGTCGGTTATGATACTGATCATTTTCATGTTTTAAAAGAATGCACCATGTCAATATCATACCCGTCATCTTCAGTGTTCATAAAATCAATTGAAACAGGTAGTCTACCAAATTTATAACAGAAAGCTAATTTTGTAACGTTCTTCAAAAGAAGAAGCAAATTAAAAGCATCTAACAACTGACTTAAAATTAAAAGCATCTAACTACAGACTATTAACATCAATACAATGTAAAGTATTAGAATGAGTAGCAGCTAAATTTATGATAAAAATTAATTTACTTTCAAAAGAACAACTTAATTTTATGAAAAGCAAGAATTGTACAACAAACCTATTATAATACCTACCTTGAATCAATGAATCATTGCAACAATTTTTCAAAAATATTTTAACAAATGCATATCATAATGGAATATCAATAGTTACTGTATAAAAACTTCAAAAATGCTTTTGATAGTATAAGTTACCCAAGATATTTATTTCTAGTAACCATCTAATGTCTATAGCCTGTTTCTTAGCTAACAGAAAACAGCGAGTGACTATGGGTAAAAATGTGACTGACTGGATTGATATACTGAGTAGTGCAACACAAGGATTTATTCTAGGTCATCTTTCTTATTATATTTATAAATGACTTACCAGAATTAAATTAATGAAGTTTGGTGATATGCTGATAATAGTAAGATAATAGCGCCAATCTTAAAATGATTCAAAAGTGTTTCAAAATGACTTGGAATGATTCAAAAGTGTTTCAAAATGGTAAGTAAATAAACTTTACAAATGGCCCACAAAATAGAAATTAGGAAAAAATTTTGAATATTTTACTTTAACTCAGAAAATGAAATTTTTGAATTTTATGAATAAGAACACATTAATAAAAATTAAAAAGTCAAAATTTAAAGTTGAACCTAGAAAAAGACATTAGTGATTATAATATTAAGTGATTTAAAATGGGCCAAACAAGTTAAATATGCAGCTTATAAAACTAATATTAACAATAAAAAATAGACATTTCCATACTTCCATACAATAGATACTTCAAGGTATCCATTTTATACAATAGACATCAAAACAAAAAAATCTTAAGTAAGAAAAAAGTTTTGGATTTAACAACTATGTTGTTATATATATATATATATATATATATATATATATATATATATATATATATATATATATATATATATATATATATATATATATATATATATATATATATATATATATATATATATAAGATTAGAAGTTTTGGATTTAACAAATAAATGGCTTAAAGGCAACCTGATTCAGAAATTCAAGATATTTAAAGGTATTTAAACCACTGTTATCAAACAAAAGTAAATACCAATGCAGAAACAACCTGTTTGTTTGCCAAAAGACTATTTGCATGTCTGTTCCCTAGACTTATAAAATTTTAAACTTATTAAAATTCCCCTAGAGCTATAAAATTTTGTTAGTATTTGAATTTTGAAAAATTGCTGAACTTGAAATTGCTTTTGCACGAAACTGTTCAATTATTTTTTATTTTGTTGCAAAATATGTGACAAATGAATTTTAAAAAGAATTTAGATCAATCATTGTATCGTTTTCGATACAATACAAACAATGTTTTTTACAATCCAAATAAGTACAACCTGTCAAGCAACATCTAAGACTGAAATACAATACTTAAAATTGAATACTTAAAAAAATAAGAAATTACTAAAAATTGGAGAAACCTTTAAATATTAGTTAATAACTTTTAAAACCTTTAAACGAAACAGCCAATCTAGAATCTGTTGGATCCCAAGCCATGTGAGATATCAGTCCACCAAGTCTAAAACAATTCATATTTTAGTAAACGAAAAAATCATAAATGCTGATACATATACATATACATATATATATATATATATATATATATATATAATATATATATATATATATATATATATATATATATATACATATATATATATATATATATATATATATATATATATATATATATATATATATATATATATATATATATATATATATATATATATATATATATATATATATATATATATATATATATATATATATATGTAATAGAATGACTTGAAAAAAATACAACTTTTTATGGAGCTTCAAATATAATGCCATTGACATTCCACTTTATTTAAAAAATACAAAATAAAAACTGTTATAAAAAGACAAATTTTTATAACATTCAAAGTTTTCAAGTTTAATGATAAATGGTAACCAATTTAATATCAAAATGCAAAATTAAAAATTTATCTTAAATCATAGGGCACAATATTTCAATTTTTTTTTGTTTAATAAGAATTTTTCATTGATAATAGCAGTGACAAATTTGATCCATGACTACCGGCATATTATCACAATAAACTTTAATTTCACTATAAAATAAATAAAAATAAAAAAGTCAATAATAGTAAAAAAAAAAAACATAACTTCCTGACATTAAAACACTTATCTTAGACCTTGGATTTGGGTTTGAATTGGAACAGATATTTGAATAGTTACCTAACTTCTTTAAAAAGTTCAGTGCTATTTTTATACCTGACTAAATTAAATGATTTTGTATGGTATGCAACAAAAAAAAAAACTTTTTTCAAACTGTGTTTGGAAAAAAGTTTCTTTTTTTTTGTTATAACTTCATTACAATTTTCTATTTATTAGAAATAAACTTATGCTGAAAATAATTTTATTATGCCAATAACTAAATGATATACCTTGGTTTAAAGCATTCATCAGACCAACAATATGACGTTAAATCTGCACATTTTAAGGCAATGCCTGATCCTAAAACACTGTCTTCCTTATTTGCTATTTATAAAAAAAATTAGATTTTGACTACAAAATAAAATACAGTAAAAATCAAATAACACAAAATATAAATATATAAACATAAATTTGTAAACAAATTTTATACGTATTTTAGATGGATGGGTAAAAGGTATCATTGATTGACTTTTTACAATTTATTTTAAACCTGTTAATAGTGTTATTTTTTATATATTGCATTTATACCCAACTATAAATTTGTTATTTACAATAGTGATATCACTGTTACATGATATGATAAAATATTTTTATATTTAACAAAAAAGGTTTCCAATGGTGAGTCATTACTCGGTTGCCATTATCCTGGTTTAGTATTCAGTGAAATACTGTAAAAAATTAGGAAGAAGTATGGTAACTACTTTTTTTTCTATTCATTTTTATAGGCGATTTTTAAATGTAATAAATAGCAAATTCATGTGATAATCATCCATCTTCACTACCAAAAAGACTGTGAGAAACCACTATTACAGTTGGAAGTTACTAGAAGAGAATTAACAGACAACTTATAAGATTGCAAATTATATGAATCAGGAAAACAAGAAAAAGGAAGCGTATTCCAAATAACTGACAAATAAGAAATTTTAAAGCACTTAGGAACAGTCACAGTAAAGGGATTAGACTTAATTAAACGACAAGTAACACAAGAATGAATTTTAGTAGATAGCACAAGAGAGGCTAGCTCTATAGAGCAACACCCATTAAAGTATTAATAGAAAAGAGAAAGAGAAACAACATAATGATGATGTGGCACATACATAATATGACATAAAATAATGATGGTTGGCTGCAAGAGCAGGTCCAACAATGTTTACTATGTGCTTTTGCACTTTGTCTAAAAGACAAAAGGCATTATTTAAAGACCCACTCCAGATGTATCAACAGTATTCTATACAAGGACAGATTTGAGATATATAGAGATAAATAGAATCTGGAGTAAGAAAGTGATGAGCTCGATAAAGAGATGCAACTTTAGCAGATGGTACTTTTGCAATTGATTTGATTTATGGTTTACAAGAAAGATCGGAAGTAAGAGTTAATTCTAGAAGATGAAGGATAGATGACTCATCTAGTAGATTTCTGTTCATAAAAATAGGAAGATCTAGATTGTTGTCAAAAAAAAATAAGTTTTATCTGAGTTAAAGTTCATTAGACACTGAGAGCCCTATGCTGTAACAAAAGCAAGAACCTTTTCAAGCTCAAATGCCCCCCATCAGGCAATCATAAAGTATTGGCTTCTTATCAGATAAGAATAAATGGTAGCATTATCAGCAAACAATGCCACTTTATATGTGCAAATTTCTGGGGGATCATTAATGTAAATTAGAATAAGTATAGGGCCAAAAATAGGACCTAACAGAAAATCAAATTTAATTTAGAAAACGGATATCTTTACTTATATTTGCCATTTAATTCAGTGGGTAGTAGAGTATAATAACTTGATATCAAAAAAAAATCAAAAATAATTATTAGGTAATTCAATATTTGTTTTTATATTTAAAAAAATAAAATATGATTTAAGACAAAATTTAATTAAAGAACTGAATAAAACTATATAAACTATATAAAAAAATAGTTATCAATTTTTTTTTAATTTTTAATTTTATTTTATGTCTGTTCTAATGTCTTAAATGTACTTGAAAATTTCATAACATTTATAGTAATATAATTTCTTCAAAAAAAAACTTACTTGAATTTCTATAAAAATGTAAATAATAAATAAATGGTTCATTAGCAACTGTGAATAACAAGAAAGACCCACAAGAACTCCAACATGCATTCTAAATAAAAGCAATATATATATATATATATATATATATATATATATATATATATATATATATATATATATATATATATATATATATATATATATATATATCTTTTTATTTTTTAAAGACATTAACTTTTTCAAATTACTCCAATAATATTAAGATTACCTCAAAACAAGTTACATATTGTTCAACTCTTTTTTTATTAATATAAAATGTTTATTTCTTTCATTTTTTTTTTATATTAAATAATTAAATTTGAAATTAAATTTAAAAAAAAATTTTCATGTAAAAAACTATTTTCCTCAACATTTGTATAAATGAATTAAAATATGTTAATTTAAAAAAAAATTCAACATATTTTTTATTCATTAAAAATAAGTTTATTTGCACATTTTTTTTAATCATTAAAAAAAAATTGCAACTAAAAAAGATTTTTTACTTTTAAAAAATTAGCGAGTAACATAAAAAATTTACGTTAATTTATCTACTTTTATTTATTAAAAGTTTTTTATTTTATAAACAATTTTATTGTGAAAGCAAAGATTATTCTTATTGATTAATGGCTGATTAAAGATTATTGATTAATCGCTGCGATTTCACTTGCCATATATATAAAAAAAAGTTTAACTAACATTTTGTGCAAATTTTTGATGCAGCCATTTATTTTAAATTTAATTTTCAGTAATAAAAAAGTTTTGAAAAGAAAACCGAAAAAACAATTAAGATAAAAATGAGCTAATTTTCTTTTAAGAGCAAATTAACTTTAAATATTGAATAATATTTAGTAATATTTAAAAAAAATATATGACAGTTAAGTTAAATCCAAGCAATGACTTTAATCTAAATAAACTTGAATATATTTTTAAATCCAAATTTAATTATATATTTTTTAAATCTAAATTAATTTTTCTTTTTATCAGAATAAAATTATATATTTTTGTTGAATTAGTTTAGAATTAAATCATTTATTTTTTTATCAGAAATAAATTACATTATAATGATCTTTGCTTCAAGCTTAAACCATTAGCGTTTTTCAAGCGAAAAAAATTAAGTAGAAATTATTTATTACTATAGAAATAGAAATTTAAGTAAATTTTTTTAATGCAATCAAGAGTTCCATTAACAATTCTTGTTCTCTCAAGATGATAAATAAAAGTTTTTATTATATATATTTCTTTTATGTTTTCTTTTATTTTTTTGAAAATTTCCCAATTAAAAAAAAACAACAATAATCATTACTATAAACAATTTTGTTTTCTGTTCGATAAAATAATTAGCATAATAGAGATTAAGTTTTTGTAGTTTTTAATTTTTTTTAATAAGTAAAAAGCGTTTTTAGTTTTTTTCATTAGTAAATAGCGCTTCATCTAGCATAATTGTCATTCAAACATTTTTACATAATCGTCAAAGTTGTTTTATATAAAATTAATTACTTCTTTTATCTTACCGCTTAATAATTTAAAAGTTAAAAAAATATCAAAAGTTGCTTCATGAAAATTGCTCTAGGTGTACGCAATTCATACGTAAATTGCCGGCAGCTTAACGCTTTAAAACAAGCTCTGATATATATATATATATATATATATATATATATATATATATATATACACACACATATACAGCCCTCGGAATTAGGGTCACCATTCTGCATTGCTAACCTAACTGCCGACCTAAAAGTGTTTAAGGTTGGCAGCCGACCTTGTTTCTATGTTTTATGGTAATATCTATGTATTAAATCGTCAGCAAATTATTGCAGACATCATTTTTTCTAATTCCAAGTGTTGTATATATCTATATCTATTTATTATACAGGGTGGCCCATAAGTCACTTTACATTTTAAAAATTAAATAACTTTTTATTAAACGCCTGTATTTAATTAATTCTTTTTTTATTACAAAGTTTAGAATCTGTAAGTTAGTTCTGACTTAGTTACGAAAGATAATGTCTCTTAAATAGCCTCCATTCTCGTCTTCACAATGTCGAGCTCTTTTTAAGCTATTCTCCACAAC